GTTGCTGCTGATCTGTTTCATGTTGCTGCTGATCTGTTTCAATGTTGCTGCTGATCTGTTTTAATGTTGCTGCTGATCTGTTTCATGTTGCTGCTGATCTGTTTCATGTTGCTGCCGATCTGTTTTAATGTTGCTGCTGATCTGTTTCATGTTGCTGCTGATCGTTTCATGTTGCTGCTGATCTGTTTCATGTTGATGTGTTCATGCGTGCTCATCTGCTCACACAGACTCATGTTCGTGCTGCTGTTCAGCGTATTGTTTTGTACTATTAGTGCTTAGTGTATTTTTAGTAAACATTTTTCTTGGTTCATATCTTAGATCTTGTTACTGTTTTACTTTTACATTTTATACTTTTGTTGGATGTAACTGGGACCCTGTGTACACAATTTCCTTCCACCTCATGTACCACATGTGACGCAAATGACAATAAAGAACCTTGAATCCTTAAACATTTCAGACTAAGTTCCTGCCTTGTCAGCACAATAAACATTTGTAAACCTATTTCTTTAGCATACAATATTTTATTTTATCACTGCATTATAAGTATCTACAACTAATATTATATCCTAAAGAAATAGGTTTACAAATACTTAATGTGTTGACAAGGCAGTAAGTTAGTCTGAAATGTGTAATATAACAACTCTAGATGAAATATATAGGTGAACAGATTTGGTTCACTATTTGACAAGAAACTGGTCAGAACTATTTAGTGAGAACAAAGCTTCAGGTAATTTTTACTTTTCACAAAATAAAAACCAACAACCATGTTTAGTGGGTGTTTTGAACATTACCTCCTTAAAACTTGAAAAAGGCCTGCAACTCCCTCGATACTTACTTATAAAAATGTCTATAATACTTTAAATATCATGTTATTGCTGTTTCACTTCAAATTCAGTATCACAACCCTAAAATATACAAGTCTGTTTTAATTTTAAGGCCTTCAGAGTATGTTGATGTTACAGCAGAGACAAATAGCACTTAGTGTTATTATTACCATACTACAGGGATAATTGAGTGTTTGCAGGTCTGAGGCCCTTCAGGAGTATTACAGTGATTTATGTTTAAAGGAACTGTCTGTAAGCTGTGTAGTACTGATACACACTAAATTATACTACCCTCACATTAGACTGAAAATGAAAACAATTGTTTCCTAGCATTCCTTGAGAGAATGCATATCACCCGCTGCCTTGAATGCCAGAGTTTTACACTAAGATATGGAGAAAAATGACAGCGCCTGCATCATTCTGGTCAAATGATCTCATACGTAATTGCAATTTGTCACACTGAGAGTTTATGTTGTGAATAACTGTCAGGTACCACCACACCAGATTTTAGCTCAATATATGTCAAACAGACTAAGTCACGCCTGTCTGAGTGTTGGATAATGTTCATAAACGGTGGAAGCACTCTTGAATGATTAACCAAAAGTTAGTTGTAAAGGGCGGCACGGTGGAGCAGATGGTAGAGCTGTTGCCTCTCAGCAAGAAAGTTGCCAGATCAAATCCCGGCCATGGGGGCCTTTCCGGGTGGAGTTTGCATGCTCTCTCCGTGCATACGTGGGTTTTCTCCGGCTTCCTCCCACAGACCAACAACATGCATGTTTGTTTGTCTGACTGGTAACTAAATAGTTCCAGGTGTGTGAGAGAGAGAGAATGGTTGCTTTGTTTCATTTGTCTCTATGTGTCCGTGATGGACAGGAGACCTGTCCAGGGTGTCCACCACTTCTCACATAGTGACTGCTGGACATGGATTCCAGTGATCCCTGTGACCCGGAAAGGAAAAAGTGGGTAAAAGATGATGGATGGATGGATGGATGGATGGATGGATGGATGGATGGATGGATGGATGGATGGATGGATGGAGATATTTTGCTAATAGACAAACAAAGATGATTCAAAAGTGAATGATAAAGTTTTAAGGGAAGGTCTTGCTCAATAGTAACACTTGGGCTACGTTCACGCTGCAGCTCTTAAATCTAGATTCTGAAGACTTGCTCAGGTCTGACTTGTCTTCGTGGTCGTTCACCTCGTCATTAAAATACGACCTCCGTCACACTCCAGCGTGAACCGTTCTGAGGCACCCACATGTGCACAGGGAAGGATGAAGTCACGCGCTACGTTTAAGGGAGTAAATATGGATGCTACAAATGTTAGCATGTGTGATTCTGAAGTTGTGTGATCAGAGCTGATTAAGTTATTATCAGATGGGCTTGTCTGGTCCAAAGATTATATTTAATCTGGTCTCTGGACGGCTCCTCTGGCGCAGAGTTGTATTTTGGAACAGGAGAGACGTACTGAAAGTAGAAACCAACTCAAGTAATGATTCCATCACGTCAATATCAATACAGTGCGACACTAACGTTAGGATCACATGTTGCTGTAGATTCTCAGCCTTCCAGGACATGACATCTAAAGAACGAACACGAAGCACCTGGACCTTT